ACTTCGCATGATTCAACAGCTGATGAAGCCACTTCCATCAAAGATGGCCAACTGTACATCACGCCTCGCTGTTCCCTCCCTCTACCTTTGATTTGTTGGTTCTTTCCCCTGAAATGAAATGCTCCCTCTCCTCTCACTTGTAAGGCTGGAATTGAAACTCATCTCCTTCAGGAAGCCTCCCTGACTGACCCCACTTGACTGGAGGTGCTGTGGAAGGCCAGGGTCGGGCTGACGGAGGGAGCAGGTGAAAGACAGGAGAGGGTATGGAGAGGGGGGATTACTCTAGGTTGTATCAGATCCCTTCGTGCTGGCCTAAGGTGGATTAATGTCCTTAATCATTGTGTCTGTTTACCTTGTAGCTCCCCTGGCCAGACAGGAACAAATCCAGAGCAGGCCAGTAGCTTTACTTCCCTTTGCATCTCCATGGGAGCATTCACAAAGCTCTCCAGCCCAGGAACCTCCTGGGACGTTTGTCTACAGCCTGGGTCACTGGTGCTTACCTTTCAGGACAAATCAAATCAATGAACTGTGTCCCTCAAATCCAGAAGGGGAGATAGAACATACACACGTGAAAAGTGAATGGTCAATATTCCTTTTAAAAGTTTCAGAAAAATTGAGAAAAAGCTTTACAAGACAGCACCCTGTGTGCTGGTTGAACTTTGCAGACAAGCACGGAGCCGGTGGCTGGCTGGCTGCTCTGGGCAGGGGAGGTTTTAAGGTAAAGGTAGGATCTGAATTGAGTCTTCCAGGGTGGAGACTTTGAGAGGCACAAAAGAAGGGTGAGGGGACTCCAGGCTGTAATAAGAAGGAAGGACATTTGATTGTGGTCCTGACCTTCTTACCCTCACCTGAGGTGCCTGAGAGCCAAAGACAGGAATCCATGAATTAAAACAAACCTGCCCAGTCCTTTGTTGATCACAGCCAGAGAGAAAGTTCCAGGCCCGGAATTTTAACTCTGACAGTGTGTATTATTCTTGATATGTGTATTGCAGGGTTTTGTTTTTGTTTTTTTAATCATAAAATGAGTCTCTTCACTGCATGTTTCACAACAGTCCAAAAAGCTGGGCACCTCGGATTAGAGCAACCCAGCCTGCTCTGTGTACATTTCTCCACCAGGAGGCACTGTGGTCACAAAAAACATAAAAGATCCGAAAGGAGAGAAATGAAGGTTCTGGTTAGGAAATTAATTTATTATTAATTAAAGAAATATTTACAGAGCCCCTTTTATGGGCAATAAAAACTGTTGGGGATTGCATCACAGATAAATAAGTTAAAAATTCCACCATCAGGAAAGTATCTCTTTGGCAAACTGGCGGAAAAGGAGAAAACTATTTACATGTTGAATGCACACTATGGGCTCAGAACCATATTAAACGTTAGAGAAGCGCCCATGAAAATCTTCCTACAGAACATGTTATCCTGAGGTGATAAGAAATTGAAACAGGAGAAGCTGGATATGGAGAGGCACAGACACAGCACAGTGTGGCTTTGGAAAAGAGAAGCAGCTCTTCCACGTCTGGCAATCAGAACAGATCTCTCAGGGGAGGTGGCTTTTCATCTGGGCTTTTAAAGAAGGCCAGGAGTTTCTAAGTGGGGCGAGAGGCAAGACTTGGGGTGAGCAGGAGATAAGAGAATACAGTCCTTATATAGTTCTCAGTCCCGTCCGTAGCTTGGAGCTTTTACTGGAAGTAAAGGCTGGGAAAGCAAAGTGTGGCAAGATTATGGAGGGACCAGAATGGTAGAGTGGGCAGTTTGGGACTTTTGAGAACTAGGGAGCCACTGAAGGCTTTTAAGCAAGGCAGCAACACTGACTGTCACAAACTTTTAAAGGAGAAGAGATTGCTCTGGTGCTGAGAGGCTCAGCTGTGACTACATCCAGGACCACTCAGTGGTCCAGACTTGAGACAACAAAGGTGATCCAGCTGGCGGCTGAGAACAGAAAGGGAGCAGATGGGGCTGGGGATGAGGGGAACATGGGAGAAGAAAGAGTCAGGGGTGACTTACAAGCTCTAAGCCAGGGTGAAAGAAGGAATACGGTAGCCAGGATAGAAGCTGTGAAGTAAAGAGAGGGAGTTTGCGGAGCTTATGAGGACAAGTTTGCTAGGCCCGCAGAACATATGAAAACTCCCAGCAGACAGTCAGAAATGTGAGCCCAGCACTGCAAGGGGGAGTCCACGGGTGGATACTTGGGAAGGACCCACATAAGGGTGACAGATGGTGAAGCTGCAGGAGAGGGTGTCATCACCAAGGGAAGGTAGAGAAAGAGAAGGGTCGAGGCCAGAAATTTTGGAAGCCCCTACCTGAGTGAGGAGTAGGGCGAGGAGAAACAGCAAAGACACAAGAGCAGTGCAGCCAGGGAGGGAAAGTTCCAGATGTAGTACCTATCAGTCCAAGGGGAGGCCAATGCTGACCAGGAAAAGGTCTCTGAAGGAGGGAGGGGAGACGGGCAGCCTTGGGCTGAAGTGAAGGTCTGAGAAGTGAGGGTGAGGAGAGCAGATGATGGGTGTGAAGGGATGCAGCGAAGGACCACGATCACGAGAGGCAGGTTCTGGAATGAGGAGGGGGTTCACTTCCCAGAAGCCTCCGTGCAGGTCCTCAGCCTCTGGACAGTCTGCTTTGCCCACTGCACCTGGCATCACCTGCCCCAATCGTCTCCAGATCCCTGCCGCAAGCAGATGTGCACAATGCAAATTGGTTTTTGCCACTCTCTTGCCTAAAATCCTTTCCAGACCCTTCCTCCGAAGGCGATACCCCTTGACACCAAGGACCTTGGCTCTCAACGCCCCTCCCTGAGCACCAATGCTGTAAAAGACAGCAGTTATCTCCGTGCCAGCGCAGCCCTGCTCGTGTGCCCCCTCCCTCGGTGTTTCTTCCTTCTGCGTCACCTGTCCAACCTAGGCTCATTCATTCACTTAGCAAAGAATTCATGCTGGGTGTTCTTCTAGGAGCTGGGAGAACAACAATGGTCAAGTCCTGTCCTCAGAAAGCATGTGTAGGGGAAACAGACAACAAATCCCCCAGTAAACACGGTGTATCAGGTGGGGATGTGTGCCAGGGGGGACTAAGGCGTCCAGGCCAAGCAGGGTACAGGGTCATCAGGGAAGGCCTCACTGAAGGGGAGGGAAGACCTCAACAGGGAAGTGAAAGAGGTAAGGGAGTGAACCATGCAGATGCCTGAGGGAAGGCATGCCAGACAGAGGCACCAGTAAGTGCAAAGTTCCCGGGGAAGGAAGCAGCAGAGAGACAAAGAAGGGAAGGGTGACAGGAAGTAAAGCTCTGGAACTAGGAGGGTGTGGCATCACACAGGGCCTTGACAGCAATTATAAGGATCCCATTTTTTACTTGAAGAGAGATGGAGAACACAGAGAGAGTTTTGAGTAGAAGGAGGACATGATGTGAGTTACATTTACAGATGATTTTGACCTCAGCTGTGATGAGGATAGACCTTGTATGGTGGTGGGGGTCAGTCAAGGATAGACCAGGGAAGAGAGGCTACTGCAACAAACCACAGGAGAGAGGGTGGGGACCTGGCCCAGCGAGGAAGTGGAGGAGCATGGCAAGAGGACAGAGCCCCCAAGATTCGTTGATTATTTGAATGTGGGACGTGAAAGAAGTGAAGAACACAGAGTGGTTCCCACCTTGGGGCCTGAGCAGCTAGAAGTCAGAGCTGCCATACACTGAGATGTGCAAGGCTGGGCAGAGCAGACTTGGGAGTGGAAATTCAGCCTTCGGTGTTGGACATCCTGAATCTGAGACGAGATACCCCAGTGGAAATACAGAGAAGGCAGAGGGAGAGTTCTGGTGTAAAGATGTTAGTCAAGGGGTCCCCAGTGTGGAGAAGGTTTTGAAAAGCACAGACCAGGGCATGAGTAGAGACAGAGATTGCTACAGACTGAGGGTTTGTGTCCTCCCAACCTTCCTATGTTGAAACCTAATCCCCAGTGTGGTGGTATTTGGAGAAGCGGGCCTTTGGGAGGTGATGAGGTCATGGGGGTGGTGCCCTTGTGAATGGAATTAGTGTCCTTATAAAAGGGGCTCCAGGGGACTTCCCTGGTGGTCCAGTGGTTAATACTTGGCCTTGCAATGCAGGGGGTGTGGTTTCGATCCCTGGTCAGGGAGCTAAGATCACATGCCTCGCAGCCCAAAAACCAAAACATAAAACAGAAGCAATATTGTAACAAATTCAATAAAGACATTAAAAATGGTCCACATCAAAAAAAATCTTAAAACAAACACAAAAAACAGGATTCCAGGCAGCTCCCTTGTCCCTTCCACCACATGAGGTCACAGAGTGAAGACAGCCGTCTAAGAACCAGGAAGCAAGTCCTCACCAGACACCTGCACGAATCTGCAGGTGCCTTGATCTTGGACTTTCCAGCCTCCAGAACTGTGAGAAATAAATTTCCATCCTTTATGAGCCTGAGCCCATACTGCCCAGTCGCCCCCCTCTCCTGTCTGTGTTAAAAAAGTTGGGTGGCCGGTCACCTACCACCCTCTGCTCACCACCTTCCTGGCCTGTCTTACCTGCCTGTAACTACCTGTTCACATTCTAATCACCTGGACTGTGAACTCCTTCGGAGAAGCAACTGTTTCTTCAATCCCGGTTTTCCTACAGGTCTATTCACAGTGCATAGTACACAGGGGCACTAACCCATTGTGTGATGCGTGAAACATTATTCCAAAAAATGAGGCCAGCCCAGCTGAAGCGTTGTATTAACATCCAACTTAAAATATGAAAGAATCCCAACTAGGGGACACTCAGACTCAGAGAGAAAGCCTTCTAGGACACGAGTCAGTTCAAAGAAACCTCCTAAATCTGAGGTCCTCTTAACTTATCCCATCTTCATCTGCCCATCTCAGACCGTGGGGTAGGAAATGTCTTCCACGTGAACCGTGATACAAAGACCAAAGCCAGGAAGGGAAGAAGCTTAAAGGGGCCACAGTCAGGGAGGGATCGATGGCCTGAACCAAGCTCCTTTACTTTGATTATAGCAATGAAACCACTGACCACCTCTCTGGGCACTTTCTACATCTTGGTGCTTTTCGGGGAGGCGTCAGCTGAAATTACTCACGTTTTATAAACGCAAGAAGCAGAGGTCTCAGAAAGTTCCAGGACTTATCCAGGGTCAGACGGCCACTTATTGAAGCAGGGGAATTCAGATCCAGGTGTCCTGACCCAACTCCCGGCCCCTAGAATGCTCAGAGCTCCTGTGGGCTGTGGTACAGTCTGGGTTCTTGCCGTGGGGCAGCCCTTGGCTGAGCCATCTCAGGTTGAAGGTGGCACTGGAAGAGTTTTAGGGAAGTGCCATCTCAGCCTGGGGACAGTATCCACCCACAGCAGCCCTGCTGTAAATGACTGTCTTCCCAAGGGAGCCCTCGACTACACAGGAAGGCCACCTTCCACATCCTGCTCTGTGGCCCACACAGATCATGTATTCTATGCTAAGTACACTTGGCTCAAAATGAACCTGCCTCCTTGGAATTCTCCTCAGAAGTCTCAGACCCTGAACTGCCCCTTGAAGCCAGCATCTCTGCCTCATTTATATTTGTATCCTCCACACAGAAGTCTGTACTGATCAGATGCTCAAGAAATTGCAAACTTGAATCATTGCATAATACAGAGCCAATACATAATGCATCCTTCTGAATAATTTAATCCAACATCAAAGACTCTCATACCTTTAAAAAAAAAGTTAAATCCAAGGAAAGGGGCAAGAAAGGTATAGCGTTACCTCTGCATAGACACCACACCCTGAAATTATGATATTGGGCCGGAAGTTAGTTGCCTTAACTTTCTTCTCTAGCCTGGAGTTGAGATCTGCCAACGATGCCTCAGAAAGGATCAAGAAGGGGCTGGCGTCTGAGTACGGGATCTGATGAGAAAACAGGAGCTGTTATAGCATGAGGCACACAGAGGCATTTCTCAGAGGTCACATGGGTCTGATTCCTGGAACCTTCCACCCCTCCCCCGCCCCACCTCACCACACAATCTTTCTAAGTATTTCTCTAGTTCTATTTACAGAGAAGTCACAGCGATTCAGAAGCTTTAAATAGCCTTGCAGATACCAAGAATTACATGATGGAGTGAAGAGAACATAGTATCAGAATCTTAGAGCTGTCCCTTTCTCATCCTCCAAACTCTCACACATTTATTTTCTTAAGGTTTGATGGCCTCATTTGGTGTGATAAAAAGTATTCATTGATTCCACAGATACTTATTCTTCATGCAACCTGCAAATCAATGTTCAGCACAGCCGTGTCAATGGCGCTACATAGCACTGTATGTTTTACTCTCATGATGAATTCTTACAGCCTTATTTCTTTAAGGGCCAGTCTGGTCATTTTACATCTGTGGATCTACATACCCACACTCATCGGCCCAACTGTGAGCTGCCACACCACTGTAATCACAGTGTAAAAAGGTTGGACTCCACATGCAATTACAGAATGGAGTGGGAAAGATACTGACCTAGAACAGTTTTGAAGCTGCGTTGGCACCAGAAGGTTTCTGTAAATAGGAATTTTTGCTCTCAGGCAAAAATGCAAGAGTCCCCTAAATCAAAAAACACAGATGCTGCTCCTAGTGGAAGGGCCTTACTTTTTGCAATTGCTTGTGACAAAAGTAATGGCAAAGTGACAGAGCCGAGCTCAGCAGACATGCCGCCCTGCTCTCCCCCTTCCAAGGAAGCCTGTCTTCTATAGGACACACCAGAGGCCAAAGCCAAGGGATGCTCCTCTGACCTGATCTGTGGGTCGAAACGGGTCTTCGATCTGGTGAGAATTTCTCGGTTGCATGTGAGGTTCGAAGTGCACCAGGCGGTACGGCTGCGTCTTCAGGAAGTTTGTTATCCAATGGGCCGCGGCCTCACCGCAGTCCCTGCCCTCGATCTCCAGGCCCTGCACTCTGCAGGGGTTGGGGCCAAAGAACAGGCATTTGAAGATCTGGACACCCTACCGTGTCCTACACGTATCCAAAAGGCTGCACCAGGCTATGATGTCGCTGTAAGTCCTTCATTATCAGGACACGTCGTTTTGGCCTGGCCCTGCCTCTGAACCATATGGAAGCCCAAAATGAAGTCGCAGTTTCAAGCCTTGTTCCCCGTCCCCCGTTTATTCTTTGAAGTATAGCTGATTTACAATATTGTGTTCGTTTCGGGTATACAGCATAGCGATTCAGTACTTTTGCAGATTATATTCCATTACAAGTTATTATAAGATATTGGATATAATTCCCTCTGCTATACAGTAAATCCTTGTTTCTTATCTACTTGATAAACATAACAGATTTCTGTATGTTAATATTGTATCCTGCAACCTTGCTGCATTCATTTATTAGTTCTAATAGTTTGGGGGTTGTCAAAGGAAACCAGAGTCCCAAGGGCTCTTGGCATCTTTACCCTAATCTAAGCTTTCTGATTCTGCAACTTCCAAACGTGACCTTGTGTAGTCTTTGGGGCATGGACCAAAAGCCTGTATGGGGCCATGAAAAAAGTTTCCACATAATTCCAAGTGAACCAGTAATTAAATTTTTAAAATTTTAACCACAAGACAGTATGGGTACATATCCAACTGTAATAGGGGCCAGGCATGCTCAGGGGGCCGGGCCAGCAGGTTTGAGTAGCCGCCCGCGGTCAGCCCGACACCGCGTCCGGTCACTGCCACTCCTTCCCCAGGAGCCAGCAGGCGGGCGCCTGAGGTCCTGGTGCTGCTGGCAGTGAGGGCTGCAGGTGCCACACTCGTGAAATAGGGAGAGGGCGGGCGTGCAGCTGTTGGCGCCCGGCCTCAGGGATGGGGGCTGACACTGGGTGGTCCTGGGGCAGGGAGTGTGATGGGAGGCGGAGGGCTCCTTTTCCCCGGAGCCCTCCAAGCCCTAGAGCCTCCGGATGGGTGAGCTGAGGGCACCGGGGACACGCTGAGGGTTGTGTCCTGCAGAGCTCTGGAGCCCTTGCCATGGCCCCCCACCATCAGGGCCAGGCCTGGACCTAATGGTCGCAGCCGTCTCCATGGAGGCCTCAGCAACTGGAGTATATGGACACTGACATTAAGGTAAAAGCTTCCACCGGCTTCAGTCTCTCCCGTTCAACGTTTCTGATTGGTATTTGCTAACGTTTGTTTTGGTGGAGGTTTATAGGAACATCGTGACCTGACCGTGACCTGACCTCAAGAACAAATGATGTGACCCCAAGAAGCTTGCAACAACTAACCACACCCTCCCTCACCTCTCCTAGAAAGGGGCTTTGCTGAAAGCTTTCAGGGAGTTCAGGGCTTTTTAAGGCATAAGCCACCCCTCTCCTTGCATGGCCCTGCAGTAAAGCTTTTTCTGCTCCAAACTCCGACATTTTGGTATTGCTTGGCCTCACTGTGCATCAGGCACACAGACTTGCGTTTGGTAACATAACCGCGGCAGACAAACAGGAACCAGAATATGGAGAAACATGAAATACAAATTGCAATAGGCATATTAAAAAGTTTGCCTCAGACAATGATGAATGCAAATTAAATCAATAAGAAATTACCGTTTTTAACACAAAAATGGCAAAATACTTTTGAACATAATGGTCAGAATGAGATGAAACAGATACGCTTATAAACTGCTGGTGAATATATAGCTGGTATAACCATTCTGCAAAACAATTGAGCAACATATATCAAAAGTCTATAGCAGCCATACTCTTATCACTGGCAAAACCACTGCTAAAATTTTTTCCCTAAGGAAATAATAAGAGATATGAACAGAAATTTATGCCAAGTTACCCATCACATTCTTTTTCATACCTGGAAAAAACTGAAAGCAATCCAAATGTATAAGCACGGGATGTGCTAAAATGCATTCGAGGACACCCATGTTTTTAACAATCTGAAAAAATACTCAACGTACCCTTAAGTATATAAACCATATTCAAGATTGATACTATTTCAATTTGTTTTTTAAAGTATTAGCCATAGAGACAGAAAGAAGCTATGTCAAAATATGAATCATAGTTATCTCAGATGGGTTTTGTTTTCTTCCATTTTTTGGTATTTTCCAATTTCTCAACAATGAATATGTATTACGTTTATAATCAGAAAAACCATCAAATTCAAATGAAAACATATTATTATGTTTAAAATTCTGATATTACAGAAATCATATTAGTTCTGCATTTTACGAACTTTGGGGGGTCTTTAGACATTTTTCAAGTAACTACATTTTTTGATGTGATGTTATTTTCTATGATAGGCTGTGGACTAATTAAGCATTCACGTGGCATTTTCATTCAAAAGGCAGAAACTGTAACGAGTATAATTAGAACATATTTTAACTTTCTCATAACACGATTAAAAAAAATGAACTCTATACATGATTTCTTAAAAGCAGAGCTAGTTTCCTGGAATAATTGCTCCCTTGAGGGCCTTCTGATGTTGAGGAAAGACACTCTGTACAGCGCAGTCTCCTGGCTGAATCTCCACTCTCACTATTACAGGGAACCCTGGGCATCTGCAGGTCAGAACACTCTTCCTTTCTATTTTGGAACTTCCTTTCATTAGAACTAAATATCACGGGTCATATAGCCATTTGCAACTCCCGCCATAACTCAGATTTGGAAGATTCCCAGTCTTTCCAGGCAACATAGAGATGATCCTAAGGTAATACATTGATCTAACCTCACCTCTTCCAGGACCCTCTCCCCACTCACTCCAACCCCATTTTTGTCCTTTATCCTCTGGTGGTGTTATTTTTCTCTTGTTGACATGTCAATATGCCTTTGATCGCATAGTTTTCTACATAAGTCTTTTATGTTTCTCTGCCCCACATCAACACACATTTCTGAAGCTGCTCCCCTTTTCCACCTTCTTTTAGATCATCACGATGTTGAGGACTTGACCCTACATATGGTACATTTGCAATCAATGGTTAATTAACTGACAGTGTTTCTCCAGATTTCCGCCACATTTCCCATCCTCCCAAAACTCCAGGAATAAATGCTCATGCAAGGATTAAGAGCTATCCTTTCCTTACCTGCACTTGTGCACTGCATTTGTGGTGGGTGTCTTGATGGGCAGCCGCAGGTCCTTCGTGTAGGCTGCACTGAGGGTCAGGGTGTCACCCTCACAGGTCAGGGAAATCAGGACCAGGCGGGGTTCCTGTCGAGCAGTAACCATATTCCCCTCCTTGTTGATCACAAGCCAAAACCTGCCATTTTCAAAACACAGGGTATGCATGGCCCACCATGACAGGCAGCCAGTCTCTGGGGGAGTTTCAGTGATGCACTGTCATCTTTGATTTCCTTGCTGTAAGCCTGGTGTGTGTGAGTTTGTGTGCGTGTGTGTATGTGTGTGTGTGTCAGTCTATCTGCCTGTCCTAAACATCAGCCCATCAGCCCAGCAAGACTGAATCTGGCAGTTAATTTCAAAGTGTTTAATAATCACTCGTGCATTGGACAAAATATCTGCAGAACATTTTGAACTCCTTGATGGCACAGAAATCAAAGAAGTTAATTATACGTCCATCTCAATTGCCAGAAAGTCTGGTCACTTTCATAAACATGCCCTAAGGAGATGATAGGAATCTATCTCGGAGAAAGACGAGGAAGCATGGTGCCTGGCACAAGGAGGCATTCCT